CCCTACACCTTGTGTTTCAAAAGGTTAAGGGAGCAGCAGGGAAATAAAAAGGAAGTCCAAAAGCAGAGCGCCTTTTATTTAAATAAAAGCAGCTGCTGACTTACTTTGTCTATACAAGGCTTGACACCAATCATGATAGATTCACCAAAGATTCTTCCATCTTTGCTTAAGGCTTTCCGGGCTTGAAGCTTAGACTGATATCGAATGTGCATCCAGTTTCCTGCGTTGGACATCTGTATAAAGTTAAACAAAAGTTGCAAAACTTAGGCTTTTAAAAACGTGCAAGAATATTTTCAGAGATAAGTTTTAAACCAAGACATACCACATGCTTTAATATGTTCCCATACTGAGCAAACTGGAGAAGAATATAGGAAGCTGATGCTTGAGGAAATCTGAAAGGTAGAGAAAAACGCTCAAAAAAAGCAATGAGAAGTGTAAGCATTTTGGTGCTAAAATACATCCCTATAAAGGGTTTCTAGATGTGCAAAACAAGCCGATGTGTTAATACTGTTTTAGAAGCAGTGACTCGCATAATGTTATCTTCTAGGCATTTTTACTTCATCACACACCACACTGGTAGAATGTTGCCTTTCTAATTTGAAGAAACAACATGCAGCTTAAGTTCAGATGCTTTACTAAAATATCAAATACATCTATTCGCTGGCTTTGACCACAGCTGCATTTGCTGCAGAACCTAGAGATACCAGATAACAGCAGTGTCTGACTGCTGCTTCTTTCTATATGTTACCAAGACTTTGTTCACAATTTCTAATGCTCCAGAAATCAACTTACCCAAATACAGTTACCCATGTGTCATCAAGTTGATCTTCTGAAGTTAGGGAATCACCCTGAGTATAAAAAGGATCTAGCTGAGCAGGAGAGAGAGTAGTCTTCCTAGGCTGTCCAATACTTGCAGGACTGAATACACTTGAGGCTGTTAAATTGAAATGGCATTAAGAAATTACTTTTGCAAGACGCAGAAGCTTAAGAACACACCCTAATAGGATACATTCAACATCAAGTGTTTCATTTGTATGTGGAAGAGTCTGGTAGAGATTTATTTGCAGACAAGCAGTAAGTCAATCCAAACGTCACATCTGCAAGCACGCTCCTGAGTTTTGTGACTAGCTACCTAGCTTTTCCTTCAACACCTCAACAGCAGTAGCAGCTTAACATGGAGGCCAAACAGGAACACAGCTACCCAGAATTAAGCCTAGCAAGATGCCATGGGTTCATACAGAAGGTAGGAAGCCTTATGAAGGTGGAAGCCCACCCAACAACTTCAGCAGCTTTACTCAAGTAAAACCACCTCTGTGCTCAATTCAGTAGCAAGTTCTCCACAAGGAACAAGTAAAGATGGTTGAAACCGATTCAAATAGCATCATAGCGGAAAGGTATTTTCTGTTCTCATCCACATACCTTTTGAAGAGCTAGTAAGAAAGATGTGACTGCTTTGCAGATTAGCAAGGAGATGATCTAGTTTGGACAGTGGTGACTTTTTAACTGTGTACTAAGGAAGGCAATATTAAAGTAGACTATATATTTTGACAGGATGTCTACCTGTTCCAGGAGTTGATGGCATAGTTCCAACCAACGGGCTCTGCGTTACAGAAAAGCTGGGCTGCGTTAAAATACAGAAAGTGACAAGTCATTCTTAAAAGTACACTTTTCACATTGGAAAAATCATTTTCAGGCAACTTGAATGTCAGGCGAGCATGTCAACAGCTTGCCTTAAGTTATTCCTTCTAACTTTTAAGAGGGAGATCAGTGCCATTTACATGTATTCTTAATACAAGCTTTCCAATTCCCCTCCAACACCCCCCCACATACACTCTCCCCCATCTATTCAACACTATTTTTACATTCTACCACACCCTAGTAGCCTAGTAGGTAGCCTGAACATCCAGTAAGCCTCAATTACTGCATGCCAGAATTTACAACTGATTACTAAGCCACCGAAAAGCATGCAGTTAGCTTTCTTAGTAAGTAACTTAGTGACTGTTCGAAGCAGAGATAACACAGGAACATAGAGCATGCTATTACACACAATGGAAGCATCACAAGCAACAAGATTTAGGAATTGTCTATAATGTTTTATCATCTATCAACCAACAGCTCCTGTCATACAGGAAGAAAGCCTATTTAAGCCACAGGAACTGGAAATTTTGGACTAAAAAAAATCCATTATGTAACATCAACCACATATCCTTTGTCAAGTCAAATAGCTTTTGGTATCAATACTCAGAAACCTTAAAGGTTAACTTTTTCAAAGTTAACTACTGATGCACTATAGTATTTCACACATCCTTCATGTGCATCCTGAGGGAAAGGATGCCAGTACAATAAGTTACCAGCATCTGATTTTTGCTGCTTACAAGATTTGGAAATCATGTAAATATATACAGCCTTGTACTCATTGCTAGACTTACTATCTCTTTCAATTCTTTAGTGCAACTTCAAGTTTTAGCTGTTACCAGTTATTTTCTCTTTAACACAGAAGGATCTCAATATCTGAAAATAACTTAAATTTATTTTTATCCTGCATAATGGCAATTCTTACACACAAGATCAAGCAAACTGGAGCACCTGTAGATCTAGCAGCATGCATTCTAACTGGTAGCTACTAATAATTTTTTTGGAAACATTTATTCCTTTAAGACAGTAGGGGATTCTCTTTTACAGAGGACTTGAACCTTTAGAATTCCATAAAAGGCCTGCTCATTCAGTGAATGTCCTCTCGACTCATAAGAATCACGTTTGCTGAAGAAGAACTCACTGCTCAGATGAGGTGAACAGCAAAGGTGTTTATTCGCACAACCTTCTAGGAATTTTGCCATTGCTCTTTCAAAATGACCTCTACTCCCCACCCATCACTTGATAAGGTATTTTACACAGCACAAAATCCCTTCTACTTTTATAAGCACACCTATTGTCTATTAAAAGGCAAGATTACACATATGTCGGTATTTCTGGCTATCAGCAACCAAATAAACTTACAGAATGTGAAGAGCTGCAACAAGTCTGTATTTGTTATGTAAAAAGCACAATAGAGGCATGATCCGTTTTTCACTCTCTATTGTCTATTGATATAGAGTAACTACAGAAGATAACTCCACTACTGCAGAATCACTACTACAAAGGAACAGGCACACAAAACCAGAGCAAGCAACAATGTGAACTGAAAACTCAGTTCTTTTGCTACAACTGTTTATACAACTGAGTTAAAGAACTCACTGAATCAGTAATCTACCTCACATTTTCTGCTGAGAATAAATCAGGACATAAACCACTTACTGGTCTTGAGGTTAGAGGTGTTGATCCAAGTCCAGGACTAGATAACTCATCATATATGCTTCTAACTGGTGGAGCACCACTTTTATCTTTATGTGTAGGGACTACTGGTTGTGGGGGAGAGCCACCTGCACTTAAAAGGAACAGATGAGAAGCCTTAGGAAGTCCATAATTTTACTCCACTGCTGTGTTCTTGAAAGTTCAACAGCAAATTCAGCCATGAAAGACCATTTATTCTTTCACTAGGGATCTGCAAAACCATCTGACCTACCAAACCGTTCAGGTTAGAAAGTTCTGGGCAAGGATATCTCATATTTATCAGAAACTATCTCCTCACAAAGGCATCATCTAAAACTTGTAAATCGCTGACTGTCACAGCACATCTGATTAAACCTGATGTGCTCACTATTTAAATGCACTTGTTCTTTTTAAAAAGTTCTGAACCTAGCTACACCTTTCTGCTTTAAGGTACATTGGCATTTGAATTGTTTCAGAGATTAACTGCCCTGTTTCAGAGATGCAAAAGCAAGGTTTCTAAGACTTAAGGGACATACTGTACTAAAGAACAATGCCAAAATGCATACACTGTCACTTTTCCACTGTTTATTCCTTTCCTTCCCATAACATTGCATACTAAATAAAGTCTAAGCTCCTGAGAGTAGGAACTAGCTTGCATATAGACAGGATGAAGTTAAGTTCGCTGCCCTACCATATTTTAAGCTTCAGGACTTGCATTATTACACCGAATTAAATTGACTGAAAGACCCTGATATACCTCTGAACACTTTGTGTAGGTTTGTGCTAGAGAAGGCTTACAGTCTTCACACAACTTTAGGAAACTAAGCTTTTCAGAAGCATTTTTCAGTCCTGAGTTTTAAGCTTCAAGACTCCCCTCTCAACAGTTTAACATATCCAGGGGAGCACTCTCCCTTCAAGGTTCTTACCTTAAATTTAAATAATATACCTAACCACTCATTTTAGAAAATCTTCCCTAGCGTTTTACTGGTTGCCCTGTTTGCGGAACTGATACTGTTGCAACGATTCCTTTTTTAAAAAAAAAAAAAAAAAAAAGGATGAGGTGAAGTTTACATGATTATTTTAAATTTTGAAACTATTTTCTCAAGAGGCTTGTATTTAAGGGAAAAAAAACACACACAAGACACAGGAATAGAGAACCGATCCTACTTGGACTGAAAGAAGAAAAATGAAATAATCTTGCAGTATGTCAACCCTCAATTCTTCTGTAAAAAGTGACCAGTATTTTAACACCAAGAAACCAAATATTTATATTGCATCCAATAATTTAATACAAAAGCCTGCCTCATCTAAGATAGGAAACAAATTAACAAAACTGTAACTACTGATTTATACTTCTAAGAGAGGATAGACACATAATATCACTGTCTTAGAAACACAGGAATGACTTCTAGTCAGATCAACTAGGTGGTTGAAAAACAAAAAAGCATCTACCTCCAACAGGTAAAAAATGTCACTACTCCAGTCCGATTACGGCAGACACTAAGATTGTCAAACATTAGCTCAATTACTAGATATTGACTAAGGAGCATTTTTTATATTCTCTCCATTCAGTTTTAAGAACCTGACAATCTGTAAGTGGCTTTTAAGAATTCATTGCAAAGAAATCAACAGTTTCCATGAGCTGTATTTAGTTTGCCAGCAGATTATCTAACTACTTTGAGCAAACAGAAAATACAGATGATTCTATATGCAATTGGCTTGTAAAGAATTGTATAAGTTGAACTTATACTAGAAAAGGTTCATATTATCTTTGTCGTAGAAGTAACCTTTCCTGGTAACAAACTGCTGATTTAAAACTCTTATTAAACTTAAGTCTATTCTGAGAAGTTTAGCCAAACTAAACTGAACACACAAGTTCACTGTCAAGTAAATTCCAAAGCTACACAGAGCCAAGTCTCTAACAGAGCAATAAAGAAAACCCTAATTCTTATTTTTAAGATAACTTTTCAGTGTTTAATGCATTCTGACCTGCAAGTAGAGGAGACCTCATTTCCATTATACCAACAGCAGGGCCACTTAAAGCACGTGGTTGTGGAGTCACTGGAGCAGGCAGATCGCCCATCAAAAATCCAGGAAGAAACTGAGCACCAGCACCTGGTTTGGGAGACGTTGGGGAGCCAAGAGTCATTGGCTCAGCTCCTATATTAACAAAAACAAAATTTAAAAACATTGAAGCAGCCAAACAATTTAGCCTATGCCAACGCCTAAGTAGTAGCTCTATAAATAAGCCGTAAACCAATTCACTGTGAGGGACTAAGATGTTTCTAACAACTTATTTTTCAAGAAAATAAGGCTTATCATAATTCTGCATTTTTAGCAACTCCACTATCCAAAAGGCAGTAAAAATAAGAAGTGCCACACTGGGACTTTCTTTTTAAAATACACCGATTTGGTTTCAAGAGACACCTGCTTCTGAAGATATCTGCTTTCTTTAAGGTGCTTTTTTTTCCTTTTTTTTTCCACTTCTGAAACAAATCCTGTCTAGAGTCCCGCTGTCATCCTGCTTTGTGCCCCAGCTCTGGGAACACGCTCTGCCAAAGCTCTCCGGCCTCTTGCCAGCCGCCTCAGTTTCCCTGCGGCCCAGCCACCAAAGCAAAGCTCGCCGCAGCCTGCAAGTTTGCTCGGGACTGTTGTTTCGGGGTGTCACGAAGCGTTTGCGTTACGGCCGTTTAGGTCACCCCGAAGGCGCGCCTCCTTCCACAGTCCCCGGGCGTAGGCAGCCGCCCACACCCAGCTGGGCACCCCGGCCCAACAGGGCCCGGACTGCGGCTGCCGGTGCCGCAGGGGGCCGA